AAATTTATTTCGCTCGTCAACTTTCAGCGGTTTTCCCGTTCCATACGTGCTACACACCTTCCTGCCTCGTATTTTGCAGAAATTTCCCCATCACCTTCAGCCTTAGTCAACCCTCCCCCTCGCTCTTTACCCCGCCAACAATGACTTGCAATCTTGGAGTATGCCTTGAAACTCATGACGCTGCTTCAAAGCTCGGAACTCCTTTGCAGTTCGCGAAATTCATGACTAGGACTAGGTATGGTATAACTACAAATTAGAGGGCGTGTGAAGGGGCATAACTCGATGCGCACTCAGGGCAGCCTCATCCAATTGTTGCGGACACAGGATGGCACCATTGGTGGAAAAGGCCGCTTTGGCTCCGCTCAAAACCACGTCCCGTCACACACCTTACGATTTGCAGGGGCCATGACCGAAAATATCGATGTTGCAATGTGGAACTACAGCGACAGGGTACGTTGTACCTTGGAGATTCCAGCGAGAGGGTCGTAACTAGTTGCTGAAGGGACCTATCTATCCTTGGACGGATTGTTGACTTTTCTCGGTTCCTGCCCATTCCTTATGCGCTATTTATTACCCTCTTCCTTGCTCAACGACAGTCTTTTGAAAAGTGATATGAAATTGAGAAAATTCAAGATGGTGGGTAGATGGGACGAAGAAGAGTGGGGAAGGTCCTGTCAGAGCAGGAGACTGGAGGATCGTAGTTTTGCAGAACTTTCCCCAAAAGGAGGACGTGCCCTGCCGAGCGATTGCTGCGCAATCGCTATTATGTAACTACTATTAGGTTCTCCGGAAAGTTCTCAGCGTTTTGTGCACCTATTTTTTGTACATTCACTGCTGATTAAAAACTCATTCTGCCTTGCTTCTCAGTAGCACATCCTGTAGAGAATTTCTTGCGCTATCTGATGGTATAATTGCCTTTTCATCATTGCTTGATAAACCCCTTTTTTTCAAGACTTTTTCAAGCATGTGAAAAGAGCACTTCGGACGATTTTTTTCTTCGACTATAAATTGGGGCAATCCGCAATCGAAACAGCTCAACAAATTAACCAGGTGTGGGAGCCCCAATAGTGCTAGAGAAAGCACTGTGCGGCAATGGCTCAACAAATTTCGTTCTGGAGATTTTAGCCTTGAAGATGAACCTCATAGCGGTCGACCTAAAGCAATATCTGACGAGGATTTTAGGGGGATTTTGGAGGCTGACCCATCCCAAACAGTTCGAGAGATAGCAGAAGAGCTAGGCCTTGGCAAATCCACTGTTGCAGATGGTCTGGAACGCATTGGGAAGGTGAAAAAACTCGACAATTGGGTGCCCCACAATCGGAGTGACCGGCAGGAATCGGCACGTCTCGAGGTTCCTTCTGCATTGCTTTTGCGCAGCAGAAACGACCTGTTTTTGGACCGAAGTTGTCACCTGTGATGAAATATGGATCATGTATGATAACAGGAGACGATCCGGACAGTGGTGGGGATTTTGACGGACCACCGAGGTAATTTTCAAAGCCGAACCCTCCCGAAAAAAAGATTCTGGTCACGGCTTGGTGGTCATCGGCTGGTGTGATCCACTATAACTTTTTATCACCAGGCCAAACCATCACAGCAGAACCCTACTGTGAAGAAATCGACGAAATTGTACCGAAAATTTTGTCAGCCCTCAAACCAACTTCTCAAGAAAAAGGAGAAGGGTCGATCTCCTTTGCATGACAACGGCTCGCCGCGACGTTTGGGGAGCAAATCAGCTATCCTAAATGACACGACTGCGGGGTTGAAAGTGCTACTCAACCGCGCAATTAGTTCTTCAGACCTTTCAGCCAACCGACTATTCACTTTTCAAACATTTCAGAACTTCTTCGCTGGAAATACTTCATCAATAGGTACCAGGCAAAAAAAAGACCCTCGTAGATTTCGTGGATTCTCGACCACCCAGTTTTTTCTTTGATGGGATTTCTCGACTGCTATCACATTGGCAAAAGTGTGCTGATTCGAATGGTGCCTATTCGAGTTAAACGGTTAAAAAATGAGTATTAAAAAAAGTTTAATGATCGTTTAAAGTGAAACACAACAAACGCTGAAAGCTTTTCCGGACAAACCAATAAACTAAACTGTAACGAAATTCTTTTCTTTCTGAAAAAGTGATATGAAATTGAGAAAATTCAAGATGGTGGGTAGATGGGACGAAGAAGGGGAAGGTCCTGTCAGAGCAGGAGACTGGAGGATCGTAGTTTGCAGAACTTTCCCCAAAAGGAGGACGTGCCCTGTCGAGCGATTGCTGCGCAATCGCTATTATGTAACTACTATTAGGTTGTCCGGAAAGTTCTCAGCGTTTTGTGCACCTATTTTTTGTACATTCACTGCTGATTAAAAACTCATTCTGCCTTGCTTCTCAGTAGCACATCCTGTAGAGAATTTCTTGCGCTATCTGATGCTGTAATTGCCTTTTCATCATTGCTTGATAAACCCCCTTTTTTTCAAGACTTTTTTCAAGCATGTGAAAAGAGCACTTCGGACGATTTTTTTCTTCGACTATAAATTGGAGCAATCCGCAATCGAAACAGCTCAACAAATTAACCAGGTGTGGAAGGCCCAATAGTGCTAGAGAAAGCACTGTGCGGCAATGGCTCAACTAAATTTCGTTCTGGAGATTTTAGCCTTGAAGATGAACCTCATAGCGGTCGACCTAAAGCAATATCTGACGAGGATTTTAGGGGGATTTTGGAGGCTGACCCATCCCAAACAGTTCGAGAGATAGCAGAAGAGCTAGGCGTTGGCAAATCCACTGTTGCAGATGGTCTGGAACGCATTGGGAAGGTGAAAAAACTCGACAATTGGGTGCCCCACAATCGGAGTGACCGGCAGGAATCGGCACGTCTCGAGGTTCCTTCTGCATTGCTTTTGCGCAGCAGAAACGGACCTGTTTCATTTGACGCGGAAGTGTCACCGTGTGAGTGAAATGATGGATCATGTATGAAACAGGAGGACGATCCGGACAGCTGGTTTCGGATTTTGAAGGACACACACGAGGTAATTTTTCAAAGGGCCGAACCTCACGCCGAAAAAAAAGGTTTCTGGTCCACCAGCGTTGGTGGCATCGGCTGCTGTGATCCACTATAGACTTTTAACCGACCAGCCCAAACCATCACAGCAAAAACCCACCTGTAACAAGGAACCGCACGAAAAGTACCGTAAATTTTTGTCACATCCAACAGCACAGCTGTATCAAAAAAAAGGGTGCCGATTCCCATTTGCATGACAATCGCCCGCCGCAACGTTTTCACCAAATCACAACTCCCATAAAATTTGAAACGAACCTGGGGGTGAAGTGCTACCGCTCAAACCGCCCATATTCTTACAGACCTTCTGCACCAACAGCGACTACACGCTTTTTCAAACATTTCAGAAAACTTCTTGTCCTGAAGAAAATACTGTCAATACAATTAGGACCAGGCAAAAAAGACCCCCCGCAGTTTTCCGTGGATTCTGCGACCAACCCCAGTTTTTATATTGGATGGGCATTTCTCGAACCTGGCTATCACATTGGCAAAAGTGGTGCTGGTTCGAATAGGTGCCATATTTCGATAAATCCCGGAGTATTAAAAAAATTCTGAGTATAAAAAAAATTTACGATCGGTGTTGAAAGTGAAACACCCAAAAACCTGAGAACTTTCCGGACCAACCAATAACTAAACTGAATCGAAATTCATTACTGCAGATAAGCAACACTATCCACCATTACCCTTCAGCCTTGCTTGTCTTGCTTCTTTTCCGCGGCCGACTCCGCTTTTCGTGCATCGCCATCGTCATTCACTCTTCGGAGCTTGACGAACTACTCGATGAATTAGATGAGCTCGACGCTTTCCTTCGTGATCGCTTCTTTTCTTTTTCCTCTCTTCGTTCTTCTTCCGAATCGATTTCTCCCTCATCCAGCTTAATTATGCTGAGAATTAGACCTTGAAAAAGTTAATTGTAAGATGGAAAGTTTCTTATCATATAAGATTTGAAAATCGTGGTGAGGCTCTCGAAATGGAAGCACGCTCGGTGGCAAAAACACTGCTCCGAGAAATAAAAGGGGTGTTAAGTTCCATGTTCCATCAAAGAAAGGGCAAGAAAAGCCAAAGATGCACCTCCGCACAAGCTCACCCCGCACTCGTACAAATCCAAAATCGTGGGCCCCACTGATCTTTGCGCGTGGCGCGACGAGTGGACAATACCAACCAGACTCGCCACTAGGCACCTTCACAGCCCGAATGAGACGGAATGGGACTGAGGGCAAGGCACGATTAACCACTACGGATAGCCCGATCACACTATTTTTACTCCTCGCGGTGGCCTACGCACCGGAGACGCGCACGTATTTGGGCAGTTTCTTTTCATTACGATATAATAGTTCTCTACCGATGAGCACGAACCTTACAATAGCACCGGGGCCATTGGCCCATCAAACAGACAAGTAGCACCTGAGGACAGCCGCGGGAGCACGGAGGACGGGCCTAATCTAATACGATACACACCCCACAAACCACACCCCGCTCGTTATAATTTTACGAGAGAAATGACGCTAGTGCCAGCCTACCATTCGCCTGGCCGGCGCAGGGCGATTTGTCCCGAGATGAGTGCTATTTTCGCACTATGGATTGTGGGTCTCGATAAACAGAATTGACCCAACTGCAGGAACGAAGAGCTACGACTTTCAAAGATATGAGCCTAAATGATGTCTGGGATTCTCCTTGTGAGCGGTCCGTCAAACGCATTTTGAGGGGTTCTCGGTCGGCGAAGTGGCTGACGGACCGGAGGCCGAGCTATATATCTACGAATGATCGGTGGGCGAATAAGAATCACACATGAGAAGAGAATGTTAAAACTCGGAGGGACTACATGGAGCAATTACAACTGAGACAGCACATTCTACAGCTACACAGATGGCAGTATCCACATCCTCAAATACAATAACCTCTTTACAGAGCTTCGGGGGGTTACACCGACTTTACACACCATAACCTAATTCTCTAAATATATGAGAGGACATTTCCCAACACGTCATATGGAGTTTGTGTTTCCTTATTCAGCGCTTCCAGTTCATCACGTGCCTGGAAATTTTGTAAAAATTGAATCAAGCTAATTAGAAGGAAGAAAACGGCGAGACAAATTTGTAAAAAAATAAAAAAGGGAGCGCCTGAAAAACATCTTCATACTTGTTGCATAATTCGCATCTTCTTAGCGCCCATCCTCTTCTCTTTCCATTCCTTTTGACTTTGCCTGCAAAGCTTATCTATCAGAAACACCATGTAGGTGAGGGGTGGAATATTTGACAGGCTCCTCAGAAAAAAAAGAGCAACTGATGGGAAAATAATAACCCACTTCAGCTTTTTAAATTCGTGCTCTTCGGGTTTCGGCTTTTTAGCTTCCGGTTCATCACCTGGTAACCTCGCACAAACGATGTCTGGTTGGTTTGTTTTGGTTAACCTGAAATCAGAACAGAGATGAAATTAAGTCACACTTGAAAAAGCAATCAATCAAGCAATCAATAGCATCTCAGTGATGGCGAGACACAGACACAGGTTTATACTCTATATCACGAAAATAAGAGGAGGGGTTGCGATTGCGCTTCTGGTGAGGATAGAGCCAGACAATGGTGATAATAGCTTTGTCAGCCCAAGAAAGGATGTCAGTTGTCAGCGACGGAATGATCCCACGAAAAACGCATTCTACGTCAAGTGAACTACGGGCGCCCTCCCATCTTTAGGATATCGAATGCAGTACGCGGGGTGATACTCGTTCTAGTACCACTGGTTTCCACATGGTACTGGATAACGGCCCTCATCCGACCATTGTCGTGCCCGACCATTGCCTGCCATCTGAACTCGTACATAGGCGAAATGCAGAAAGGCTTCCCGTCATGAGCCCATGTCGATATAACGTCCTTTTTTGCGGTGCACTTTCCTGCACTGTGAAATGATGGTGTTCAAAAGGAACACAAACGATGGAGGGATTCACGCACCGCGACTAACAATCCACCTGTACATTTTGTACGACTGCAGAGTCTAGAAGCTGAGATGCGAATGGGACCGACTGCGCTCCACCGCCAATCGTTGGACCGGTGTAATTCACACATCAAATTCGAAACCGACACGGATGTAAATAAGATACTGTAATCTTTAGTAGACTTCATATCCAATCACTGGGCCTTTATGTTCATGGCTCAGGCTAACGGTCAAAAGTTCTCCACTGCATTTGTTCTTCTGTTTCTCCCAGAGCTCTTCGCAAAGCAGTTTTTTTTTACTTTTTGCGCGAAACACCCACTAAATACCCTGCACACAGTAGACCTCATCGGAAGCCCGCCCCGCCCAGGCAGCCATGCCCCTTTTTGCCGCGATGATATTTTACACTTATATGCCTGTACTGTCATCGAATCAGCAGTTCCTGAGTAAATCTATGATTTAGGGATTCGCCAGGCATTCGTATTATGCGAAATGGGGAGCATATGAGTGAATACTTCGACAAACGAGAAGTATCGGGACAGCTCAAAGTAAAATACAACTTCCCCGCCTGCCAAGCAGATTCGAGCCATCTGATCTTGTAAATATCAAATCTTGGTTTGGGTGAGATCCTACATCACAAACCTTGTGAGTGCTACGGTGCACCACTTAGCATTTAGAGCTCAAACTTATAACTTTGAACACCAATAATCTTACTTGGCCCATGATTCAAAACTTAGTGCTTCTCCGCCAAGCATGATATTGCCTTGCTCGTCTTCTTCCACTTCTAACTCGCCTTCTTCGGTTACCATTCTGCAAAAAATACAGTATGCTGAGACTATAAAGGAAAAAGAGAAAAAGAAGGGTAAGTCGAAAAGGACAGCGAGTCCTACTTTTGACGTTGAGCTTCCAGTAAGGCACCTACACCCATCATCACACGACCGGCACGAGATTCTGCTGAGTTTTTCCTGAGAAAAAGGAGGGTACATCCTTGAAATGCTAAAACCGTTGCTCACGCTTACCCCCTGAATCGTTTCCTACTTGGTGCCACCGGGACATACTCAGCAGCCTTCATCTGGACCAATGTTGGCCGGTCAACAAAGGTTTCTCTTCTTACTTCTTGCTTCCAGCCCCTTAAAAAGTTGCACATAATAAAGGATCTGGATGGAAAGGAAGCACTAGAGAGCTCAAGGCGAGAAGCATGAACAAATCAATAACAGACTTTATCAAATCTTGCAGATGTTCCCTCATCCAAGCAGTTTGTGCCTCAGTAAGATGCCTTTGCAGAGTGTGCAACATTGCCGGTCGCAGAACGCTATCTGGCAATCCTCCAACCTGAGCCGATACCGCATCACACATCGTATACAGCTCCATCACATCCGTAATTTCGGCCCAGTTAACACGCTGATCCGTGACGTACTGAAACAGTAAATTTCTCAAACATGAATTTGTACGTTCTCTGTGCCCTACTGAATCCTGAAAGCGAAGATTCTAGAGGGTATAGGGCAGGAGGTCCACAATGCGGCAACGCGGCATCGACGCGACGTCGAAGTCTCGCGTGCCACCTCTCCACTGACAAGGGAGGTCGCTCAGGGCGTGGTGCGCTTTTTGAAAACGGTTTTTTGCATATTGTAGGGACACATACGAGGACCAGAAAACTGAGGTTCATTTTCACTGCGCGCTCCTGGGGTTTCAAAAAACGTAAACTGGTCAACTGGTCAAGCCTGCAAGTGATTTACAGCCCCCGGGGCCCAAAACGAAGCGCTTTTCCATAGATTTCTTTTCACTCGTTTTTTTGCCTTTCCTGGAAGCGCGCAGCGAAAATGAAGCACACTTTTCAGGTCCTTGCATGAGCCCCTACAATATGCAAAAAACCGTTTTCGAAAAGCGCACCACGCCCTGAACGACCTCCCTTGTAAGACGCTATTCATTTAGCACGGATTTGCTACGTATGCCCGCTAATTTACCCCTAACATGGATCTCCTAGTTCTCAAAAATACTATAAAGGATGCAGCTCGAGAACCCGCCAGATAGATTAGAAAGGGTATGTGCTTAGAGAATCGTAATTCGCCGCGCTGGTGGTGCGCGTGCGACGTCGCGCCCGCAAATGACGATGGTTCCAGGTAGTAGATGGCGACAACAGGCAATTCAGAACCGAAAATAGTCATGAATGTCTACGATGACGGGGTCTACATGAAGTCCGGTGCTCCAATCGACAGGTTAACACGAGTTAAGAAAACGCCGCGCCCATCGCCGCGCGCGGCGGAGCGGCAAATTACGATTCTCTTGTCCGTCTCCCGATTGAAAAAGATAAAGACTTTGTCGCTGATCAATCCTATCTTGAGATGAGACACGCACTCTACCTATATCAGAATAGTAGCGGATTATTGAATAGGATGTGGCCTATTCGAAGACTTGTGGGGACCCACTGTTGTTATGCTCCAGACGAATCTGGTACTGATTTACCAACCCAGCAGGGAACAAAGTTTGAATGGCCTGGCCGGAACCTGACCCGAGATTTGAACACCCGTACGGCGCACGTGGTGAACGTCCCTGTTGCCACTGTACCACCTCCGCCTCTCCACATTGATTATCTGTGGAAAAAAAGATGACATTCAAGAGGGATCAGAAAAAGCTTACAAGGGAGGTCGTTCAGGCCGTGGTGAGCTTTTTCAAAACGGTTTGTTGCATGTTGTAGGGGTCCATGCGAGGACCATAGCGATGGGGTTCATTTTTGCTAAACGGTTCTGGGAATGTCAAAAAAAGGTCAAAACAATTCGAAAAGAATGGGCTTTTTTTTAAACCGCACCTTAATTCGCCTTGTGCCAGCTGTAGCGTTGACAGGTGTATATATGTAGGGATCTCTTTAAGCAGGTCCATGAAAAAACAGGAAATTAAGGTCAAAATGCCAAATGTTTTGGCATCGGCGGTGAGCTGTATTGGAGTTTTCCGGTCATCTGCGCATATCTCTTCAACAGTTCCTGTATCTCTACTGTCGCAGTGGCGGATGGTGTGGTGGATAGTGCGACGGGCTCTCGATCGCTGGGTTTCCGGATCGATCCCCTTGACGACACCACTTTTGCATTTTTTTCACATTTCCTTGCTTGCCTGCTATCCCTGTATGCCCCATAATGTGTATGACCCGGATATACGCCATTTAAAGGCACATTCCATGCGGGAACGGTTCACAACGGGGCCTCACTCAATTATTACGCTCGCGAAATACTATCGAAGAAACTCTATGAAACTTGGGTTACGGCGGTTATCCGATGCTCTGATCATGAACATGACACTCATTTTTAAATATGGCGCAATGTGTCGCCAATTTGGTGCAAGGGCTTTCTCGTACTACCATCACTGTCACTCTGCGCGGCGGGGCTATTTAGCACCACACTGGCCCCAAATGGCCTATGCGACAAAAATAAGTATCTGAACGTGGATCAGGAACCATCAATTACTCACCGTTAATAGGATGTAAAACGCGAAGAAAAAATTTTCCCGAGCATTTTGTGTTATGTTGCCGGCCATGTCTCCAGCTAGTGGCTATCAGCCCCCCCCCCAAGGAGTCGTTATCCAACATCGTTAAGAGGAAGCTTTTCATTTGCTAGTATGCAGTACGACAAATATCAAAAACTACACAAAAAAGTGACGTTATATCAGCTGCACTCCTCTCATACCTTTGATATGAGAAACAAAAACCTTTCTCCGGGCAAGTGGTAACGAGTTCTTTGTCGAAAGCATAGACGGTAAAAGTGAAGAAAGATCCAGGATGCTCGTTTAGTGGCTCCGAAGCTAGCACCATGTTTCTAGTGTAGCCCTAATGAACGTTGAGGGGCAAGAAATGAAAAATTTCTGGCGGTTCGTCTGCCAGAGAGGATACTTAACGGAGGGTTCGCCTGTCACTGCCATCCAAATGGTCAGGTCCATGACCACTAGAGAAACTCGAAAAAAATTTTTCGCTGAAACCTCTTAACAGGGGTAATCAATGGCCCTGATCACGATTCTGACAATTATTTATGGCGCCGACGTGATCTGGGGCCAGCGTGGCGCTAAAAGGCCACTGCGAGCGCGAAGGGATGCTGCATAACCCCCTAATAGAAATTGCGGTGTACACTCAACTGAAAATGCCAGTGAGGTACTTGTATTTCGGACCGTTATTAAATGTTCTTTTTCATGTCTATGACGGAACTGTTTAATAAACCTATTGTATTCTGCTTTACAGCTGAAACAGATGCGAATGAGATGATAAAACTTGCGTATTTTAAGCGATTTTTTTATTCCTTTTTTGACATTCCCAATAGCGTTTAGCAAAAATGAAACCCATCTGTGTGGTCCTTGTATGGACCCCTACAACATGCAACAAATCGTTTTGAAAAAGCTCACCACGGCCTGAACGACCTCCCTTGTATAGTCTCTTTATAGATTTTTCTCTTCTGTTTACTCCAAGCCCTGTTATGGCACGCACTAGAAGACACTGGATTATACCTCTGCTTACAGCACGACATCATACCGAAATAACACATTAAAGGAAGCCGTCAAGCTGAGGGGAGAGCGTCCCTTGTGTGGTAACAGATGACGCACACGCTCGCCAAGCATGAGTTTGCGGGTTCGAGTCCCAGCTAGCGTCAAGCCTTTCGTCCATGACTCAGTATTTTAGTGATAGCTCTCACCATACTCGTGGGCCGGACCTCTAGAGCAGTCTTGTTCTGTGGTAGGTTTGGTTGTGTTCTGTTGTGCACAGTTGGTACAACAGTCGTTCGGCCGCGGACACCACAGGGCTGTTCTGGCGCTCGCTCGACAGGCACCAGGCACTGTCGCTAAGCGCATACGGAAATTTGCGTGTTCGGGCTGACACCCACCACAACTGATCTGTGACATGGCGAGGCTTAGTAAATTTCATGTGTAGGTTTGTAGACGAATCCTCGTAGGTAAACTTTCATTCAAATTCGCGCCCAGGGAAAACTTTGGCGAAAAGCGTGCTCACAATGAGACGTCGCAGGTCAGGGTCAAAGCGATGGTTAAGCAGCGCTGAGTTTTCGTATTGTGAATAGCGAGAAATAGTGGCTGAAGGCAATGAGGCATGATGGGACAGGCCGTTGTCGCGCAACCGCTGATGGGAGGGTCCAAATGCCTCTCGCAGCCTTCCAACAATGACGCTGACAACAACCGCCCGCCTCCAGCAATCGTGCCCACTGCCTGTGATCTCAGCACGGCGAAAAAGAACCAGTAGGATGATTACCTTTATAAACATATCGGTCACATCATCTTCGTCCAGTACCGGTGCCAGTTTTGCATCAGCTGGTGCAGATGCTTGCTGAATGATCGGAGCTGGTGGCTCTTTAACAGGAGGTGGTGGCTCGATTTCTGGCGGTACAAAAGGAATTGGTTTTTGCTCCTCTTCAACAAATTTCGCGTACTCGACCGGTGTCAGGATCCTGGAGCAGTGAACAAATGCAATCACCAATGCGCTGGCCTATTAAGTCTCACTCCTCACCTCAGAACGCTTTGCTGTTGCCCATCGTCTAATTCAAAACCGTCTTCTGACCTGGCTGCTTCAACTTGCTCTTCGGTATGCATGACAACCTAAAAAGGACGGTACACGCGAGCGAAAATTTTTGAATGAGGTCCAAAATTAAGAACCTCAGCTTGTTTGTGTTGATTTCGGAGGGGAAGAAAAGTGATTTTCTCAATGTGATCCGCTTCTGAAACCAGTTCGTTTTACACAGGAGTCAGTGGGAATAATATGAAATCTCATTTTATACCAGACACTTTTCAAACCACAACGGACATTTGTTGTACCAAATCGAACAATTTCATGTCAAATCGGACACGAGACGAAGTACTGCTTTAAGCCCCGTCCCAATTCCCCCGACAGATCGTTCTTGGGTTTTCAAAATTAAATTTATTCATTGCTGCCTCCGCCACTTTTTTGCACTTTTACTATTTCGCGTATACGCAAACTGAAAAGGATTGTCATACCAATACAGATACAACTACCACCCTCTTCCTATTAGAGCTATTGCATGTTTGAATCATGAAACGGAACTCCTAGGCACTCATTCATGCACTGACTCTAAGTTGCTTGTGAAATGCAGGTTGCAGTTTTGCTATCTATATTTGTAAATAACCTTATAGACTCTATCGATCTACCCAGGTCTCCATTCAAAGTTCCATGGTAAGTTGGCGGACTTCCCTAGTTAGTCAACCGGCCGATGTAAGAGGGGTTCTGATTTGGAAAAGTCGGATTCAATATGAAAACTGCGCTTACCAAATATGCTATTCAGCAGGTTTTGCTCTGCCGAGATGGGCAAATCAAGAGCGTATATCGTCCTCTTCTTGGCATCTTCATCAACAGGGATCTTGAAAAATGGTCGAGAGCGGCAAGCAGCAGGGGCGACTGAAAGATTAAATGGAGTAAAAAGGACTCCACTACTATTTTAGCGATAAAAACAGACTTACAAAAAGCCGGAGAAGCTTCGACCTTGACAGCTTGCCCGTCAACCCGCATTTTTTGCGCTTGCGTGAACGATTCCCTTGCAGAGCTAATGGACTCAAAAGTGAAAGATATTGAACCAGGTTTCGGACCCTGAATTTAGATTTATAAAAACAAATAGCGTGGTTCTGATAGAAACATTTGCAGCCAGGATATACCTTTTGTTTTGTAGCCCGTCCGAATCGAATATTGAAAGAATCACACCGGGCAAGCATATTTATAATCTGAAATCTAACTTATTGAACAAATAATACGCTACCGTAAACTTGGAAAAAACGAAGAGAATAGGACCTCAGAGTGTGTCCTCCAACCTCCGGGATGTCTTAAACCCGTCACAGTGAACGTTCGATTATCTAACTCCGGCTCTTCATTGGTTTGTGGTGAGGCAATTTTATCTTTAGCTACTTCGGGCTCAGTTGTCGATGCTGATCCTGCGGACGAGCCCTCGGGCACAGCATCCGAAACAGAGTCAACAGCTGTGCTATCGGTTGCAGTCCCATTTACGAGCGGCACAGCTACTGATTCCTAAATAATGTTTATGAAATTGATGAACGAAAGCAGTGTGCTGCAAAAAACTGACGAAGTTGATCACAAATTGTTGAATAGAACACGATTTCCCTTCCACACCCCGTCCCCCTCCCAGTGCCACGACAATAACTGCCCCTCGCTTCTGCGGCATTATAGGCCAGTCTCTACTGCAAACACAACAACACTCATTTCCGCTTTTTAGTCAGCTCCACCTCAAGCAAAATTTTATGAAAATATGCAGAGTGATTGTTGGAATGCGCGTTCTTTAACAATGTAAAAGACACCGAATATGCTCACAAATAGAAAGTCAAGCAATGAATCTAGAAGGTGAAAACTTTTCCCAACCTTTTTTCAACAAAGTACTTATTCTGGTCACGATTGCGCTGACATTCTGAAGCGTAGTCTTGTTCGCTCCGGGTGATTGGGGTGTCAGCTGCTGCTTTTGGCGCGGTGTCAACCCCGTTTTTTCTTTTTTTCGGCAAGCGACAAGACTGTATCATATCGTTCAGTCGCTTCAACAACTGTTACTGTTGGAGGACTCTGGCCGCGTTGATAAGCCCCATCATCCGCAGCGAACAATACTGCAACGAAACCGCCAATAAAAAGAACTCCAGGTCTAATTCATGCGATCTCCACTTCGCCTTAATGATAGAAGTCTTCACTTGAGCCCAGCATAAACACAACCCGGTATATTCGGCCATTTATTCATTTCAAAATGACACTATACTTGTCTATGGGCACAAAACACCGAAGAGTGGAATTAAACATGCGGTTTCAGCGGCAGTTTCGCTCTCCAATAAGAAGTTTTTGTGTCATTTCATTCAATTACCGCCAATGAGAGGAGATAATGCGGTTTCGACCCCCTGCACTGCAGAAGCGATTCCACAATAGTTACGAATTCTGTTCCGCCAGTGAACAGTGTACCAAAATTTTACATGTTTTTTTTCGTTCGTTCGGACGAAGTTGTTTAGTGGAGTACCTAATTGGCGATGTTTTGAAGGAATGGTCCTAACTAAAGGACTGGCATACAATTCAACGACTTCTTTCTCTGAACCAACAAACACCTCCACTGACAACGTTTGCCGAACAAGGAAAACCAAATAATAGGACCATATTGTATAGATTTCAGAAAAGTTCCCTCAATTATCTGTTTTCACATTACTTGTTTGTGCCCACCCGCCCAGAAATGGACGAGCAATGCCGATGCTCGTATAGCGTTATTTTCGAAGTACAGTATGAAGCGGAGGATTTGATATGGGGCCTCTGCAAAAACTGCATGGATATATGAGTACATACATGCAGCCGTATCAACCGTAGCGGTTATTGCCACTATGCTAACGGGAAACTTGTCCGAAATCGTTTTCTGAGTGCTGGAAAATAAAGGCTTTTTTGCTAACTATGCCACAAACTACTATAGCACGGGAATCTGTGTGTTTTTTTTTTTCCGGAGTACCTCGCTAACCTGTCACAGCCTTCGCCTGATTCGCTCATTCACTCAATATGAATTTTTCTGTTCCCTTGGCTGCCCTTCGAAACATTCATGAATGGTTCCCGAGCGCGTTATAACGCTATTTACTCAGGTTCACGATCAGACCTTTTTAATTTTGAAGGGAATGAGGAAGTATCGCAACGCATTATATGATCCCACTTAGTTTATACTAATTAGCCGCATAGTTACTTGAAATACTCATTCCAAAGAATATTTAAATAGCTGGTCGAAAAGCGTCCCTGATTATTTTTATGCAGGAGAACACTAGCCGGAAAGTCGCTTTCAGGGACTATTTTAAAAATTTTCAAAATATAGACTGATTAAAAACTGGATTGAAGTCTGGTTTCTCTTAACAGAGTCCCAATGCTGAGATACTGCATTAAAAGCGCTTTTGAACATATTTGGAACCCCCAACCACATATTGACAAGGGAACTATTGTAGGTTTGCGCAATCCATGCCAATGCTTTTTTGGTAACATATTACCAGAGAGATAAACGCAATATATTAACACGGGTAAAAAGTTTGTTGAGCATGTGAAGTTGATACTTCACTAGTTACATATTAGACCTGTACAATTTCTGACACAAAAAGACTATTCATCTATACTATAGGTGGAACAAGTCCAGTATGACTTATGATACATGCGGAGAGTAATCAAAACTAACGACGCCTAAATAACTTCTGTATTAGACAAAGCTCGCGACTGTGAATAGTGGCGTTCAGTTACAACCAAATAGTCGCTAAATGACTCTCTGATAAAGAAGGAGAAAAAGTCATGAAGAACACCCTGAGTTGGGAGATGGCAACCTATTTGGACGAGTTCTCCGATTATCTGTTCGTTTCAGCCCGCGAAAGAGCTATCCTGCTACCTCTGGCTCATTGAACGTTCCTTCTATTCATCCAGTGCTACCATGTAAGAGAGAAAAAAAAGGTAAAAACTAAAGTTCCATTAGAAAATCGCCTTGGAGTTGGGCGGGGCAACTAGAGGGGCGATAGAACTGGCACATATGAGGGCCACAGTTAAAGGCAGTTGGCACGATAAATCCCCCAAGACGACTAGGATCAATACTCCTGGCAGGATAGAATTCCGCGACCCTGGCAGGCGCTGCATAGCGGTTTCCCCGAGGAAGGTGCCCTTATAAGGGCCCTATCAAGCCACAACTTTACGTCCCAAACGCCCGCCACGCCCGCCCGCCCACAAATGGACGACCGTTCCTGACGCTCTAATCGATTCATTTGCTAAGCAAATTATGAAGCGAAGGGATTGGTATGAAGCGGCCGTGATGCTGCATGCATATATGGGTACACATATGCAGCCGTATCTTCGGTAGCGGTGATTGGCAAGATGCCTACGGGAAACTCGTCCGAAATCGATTTACAAGTCACTGAGAACGGAGGCTTTTTCTTCGCAGGATTTTGACCGTTTCACTCCGTTCTTTCGCCCCTTCCCCACAATACAGCGTCCTAATAGCATGCCGCGAAAGTGGGATAACCTTAGAAACTCTTGAAGGCTGAGGATCAAGTTACTTCTACAAGGAAGGACGTCTAGAAGCTGTTTGGGCGCGGGGACTCTCTTCAGGTTCTAGCCTAAAGACATCCCCCCTTTCTAAAATCAACC